GCGATCATCTTCTCTTGCCGTTGATAGCGCATAGCCTTACTTGGCATTTGCTAGCATTCTTGAAGGCCTGGCTACAGTGTTAGCCGGAGTCCTCTCTTTCTTTATCATTCAAGATTTCCCGGACACAGCCAAGTTTCTGAGTGAAGCGGAACGAACAGTCGTCGTGCGGCGTCTTCAGGAAGATGACCAATTTAGTGCCGCAGGAGAACAATTGAAGATGAAGTATATATACAAGAGTATCCTGGACTGGAAAACATGGATCGGAAGTGAGCATTCTCAACGTTATCTTCACGGCAGTTTGGTTGATTACTCCACAGTGATGGTTTATGTGGGCGCTGATATGCCCCTAGTTCAGTCAAAGGCTTCTTCTATAATGAGTTCTATGATCTTACTTGACTTCTAGTATGCGTTTTCCCTGTTCTTGCCTTCGATCATAAACCAGGTACGCCGTATTTTATACATTCATTTCACCTGCTTGATATTATTCACATTACAGCTCGGTATGTCCTCAGACCATTAATACGCTCGTTTATTAAAGCAGGGGACAAAGGTTTCAAGGCCACACCAGCGAATCTACTCACAGTACCTGTATACTTTTTCGCCTGCGTTATCACTTGCGGGGTCGGATTTTTCGCGGATAAATGGGGCCAGCGAGGATATCTCAATCTGTGAGTGAATCTCATGTCGCTTTCGGCCGAGCTAACTTGTCACAGGGTCTTTTTGGCCATTGGTGAGCGGGAACTATTCAATTTTTGTTGAGAGAAAAAAAGTCCTTACAAGGAATTCAGGTGCCGTCGGATATATAATTCTGATTGCGTCAAGAAATGCAGCTCTTTCCTATTTCGCTGTGTACCTTGCTACTTGGTCAGTAATTCTATCACTTTGGGACTACTTTCCCACTGAAATCATTGCCTGGCAGTGGAATCTATCCGGTTATTCGTAAGTGCATTCCGTTTGTGTTTGCCAAGTGGTCCAATCCATCCCTAACATGATTGGTTCAAATTACAGCAAACTCTATAGCATGGGTGTCAAACAACGTTGAAGGCTCTTATAAACGTAGTGTGACTTTAGCTATGGTGATTAGCTTGTAGGTACCAGTTTACTTCAAGATGTTCACCACTCACAAGGCTTTCGCTATAGCGGAAACATCAATGGTGCCGTTAGTAGTAATGTCGTAAGTCATTTAGCAATCTATCCTTGATTCGTCCAGAGCCTTATTCATATAGTATCGAGCGAACCAACTACCCTGGTATCCTCTAGGTAAATCTAATTCTACTCGTCGCCGTGATCTTTTTCACTCACTCAAACTTTTTTGTAGGGCATGGTATGTTCTCTATATTCATGGAGCTTTTTTTTTTACAGCCGAGCTAAATTTTCCTGGCAGGATTGGTATTACTCTATATTGGCCTCGGACTAATCTTCTCCACCACTTTCCTGATATTTCTTCGAAGAGAAAACGCGAGGCGAGACCGCGGTGAAAGAAATGAGATCATCGGAGACGACAAGTCCAGTGGCCTCGAAGCGAATGGAAGATATGACACGGTAGCGGATGCCAAAAGAGACAAAGGCGACGAGTGGAGTGGCTACAGATATACGACGTGAAGTGGATCTTGCTATATATTCCATATTTGAACCAGATATCTCTGCAACTATGTCTCTGCAACTATGTAAGTACATACAATTTCGTTGCAAAAGCTTTAATTCGATAGGTGAATGTTCGATCTTTGCTAAGGGTGGGAGTACTTGTGGATTTGTATGCTCCCAACCACATTCCAAATGCTCTCGGCATTCTAAGTAGAAGAGGTGTGAGGTGAGTCGATCACCATAATACAAGCTTTTTCCACCGTGAGACGAAGCAATATCATAGGGACAACCTTCGCAGCTTGAGTATGGAGCTCTAGTAGATTTTTTCAAGGGCGATTATGCGGATGTATAAAGCAGAAGAGAGATTGGCTAGAGGGTAATTGAAGCACTGGGAACGGGTCGATGTAGAGGATGGAACAGCTGACGTTAACTATTATTATGATTCTCACCTTCCGATTTATGATACAAACACTGCCGTCCAGATTTTCACGTCCCATGCCTTTGGTCAATTCAAATTATTCAATCCAAGGCGTCCCCTGCGTATGATACCCTACTAATAACCCGATAGCTGAGGTACAGCCTGTCTCTTTCCCCCATTCTCCACATCTCACGACAACCATGGCTGGCTCAGTCTCTTCAGACCAGGAAAAAAGGTTCAATTCAGGTCATCGAAGATACAAGAGCAGCGATAGCTCTGTATAACGAACATGTTGATATCAGCGGTGTCGATGAACGAAAATTGATACGCAAAATTGATATCGCCTTAATCCCTTGGCTCTCGCTCTTGTATCTACTCAGCTTTTTAGACAGAACGAGTATTGGAAAGTGTGTATGTTTCTGGCCGAGAATGGGGTTTTTGCTCAACGTATGATACAGTGCCAAGGTGACTTTGAAAGATGGAGTCAATGTAGGGCTGACAGTAACCCACCCAGTTGTACAACATGGAAAAGGATCTACGCATCACAGACACTCAGTATCTTCTGGCATTGACCATATTCTTTCTTAGGTATGAACTCCTTTTCAGTGTATAACTTTTTTTCATATTCGTTCCGCCAGTTATGCCATATTCGAGGTACAATAAGTAGTGTCTTCAGCGTAAAGCAGGAACCGCCTTGAATGATATAAATCTCTGTAGGTTCCATCCAATGTCTTTCTAAAGCGCTTGCGTCCTTCACTCTGGCTTTCCGGCTTAATGTTTTGTTGGGGAATAATGATGGTGCGACAATGTGGAGAGCTTGGGCCTTACTTGACTGACAATTGATATTCAGACTGTACAAGGCCTAGTACATAACTTTGGCGGACTAATGGGTGAGATGAGTACTTAGGGGTGTTCAATGAAAGCTGATGCAACTTTCTTTGCGTAGGGATGCGATGGATGCTAGGAATGTTTGAGGCTGGGTTGTATCCAGGGGTGACCTATTACCTTTCATGGTATGTTCATACTATGCACGTTTGGGGACACCAAACCGATTTGATTCATTTGGAAGTTGGTATAAACGCTCCGAGTTTGGTATACGTGTGGCCCTCTTCTTCTCAGCTGCTACGGTTTCTGGAGCCTTTGGTGGATTACTTGCTGTAAGGTCTGCCCATATTACTCTTCGATATCACCTAATGCCTCCTCCCCCCTCTTTTGTTTCAGGCTGCTATTTCGAACATGGACGGAATAGGTACGTGCTTTTCGTGGCCCGTGAAATCTCATCCCCAGACATTCGCATGGCTAGGTGGGAAGCCTGCGTGGGCATGGATTTTGTACGCAATTCTCTTTCTCAGTTCACATAACCCTTACTATGACTGCTAGCATTCTCGAAGGCTTGGCCACAGTTGTAGCAGGAGCTTTATCCTTCTTCATTATCCAAGACTTCCCAGACACAGCCAAGTTCCTGACGGAAGCGGAACGAACAGTCGTCGTGCGTCGTCTTCAAGGTGATGACCAATTCAGCGCCGCAGGGGAACAGCTGAGGATGAAGTACATATATAAGAGTATCCTAGACTGGAAAACATGGGTCGGAAGTAAGGATTATCAAGATCATTACTTCTATTGTTCGATCTAACCATTCCTCAGTGATGATTTATGCGGGCCTTGATATGCCTTTAGTTCAGTTAAAGCTTCTCTTCTCCCTGCATTCAAGAGTTCTATGATCTAACTTCACTTAAGTACGCGTTTTCCTTGTTCCTGCCTTCTATCATAAACCAGGTACGCTACATTTTATCCAATCTCCGATAGATATTCATGCGTGTTGCAGCTCGGTATGTCCCAGTGACTCCGTCATCGGAGAGCTCATCGTAATGCGGTGGATTACAGGCTTCAAGGCCACACCAGCGAATTTGCTAACAGTACCTGTATACTTTTTCGCGTGTGTTATTACCTGCGGTGTCGGATTTTTCGCAGATAGGTGGGGCATGCGGGGATATTTTAATCTGTGAGTGAACCTCATGCTGCCTGCTTTAGGCCGAGCTAACTTGTCATAGCATCTTTTTATGTATCGGTGAGTGAAATCTGAGTGGCACTGTTCAATTTCTCCTGAGAGAAAAAACTTCTTACAAGGACTCTAGGTGCTGCCGGATATATAATTCTGATCGCGTCAAGAAATGCAGCTCTCTCGTATTTCGCTGTGTACCTTGCTACTTGGTTAGTAATTCTGCTGGGAGCTACGTTTACACTTACATGATCGTTCAGTGGAATTTACCCGGTTATTCGTGAGTACATTCCGTTCAAGAAATGGACAAGTAGTTTATCGTTTCGAATCATGGCAGCAAACACTGTGGCATGGGTGGCAAACAACGTCGAAGGCTCTTACAAGCGAAGTGTGACTTTAGCTATGGTAATTGGCTTGTAGGTATCCTGTCAACTGTAAATGTCCTCGGTTCATATGGGTTCCGTTGTAGTGGAAACATCAACGGGGCTGTCAGTAGCAACGTCGTAAGTCATCTAGCGGTAAATCTCTATTTTATCCACTGTCTCATCGAATAGTACCGAGCGGATCAACAACCCTGGTATCCTCTAGGTGAAACTAGTTCTACTCACCGTCTTGGTCTGTCGCTCACTTTTTCAACTCTCATGCAGGTCATGGTTCGTTTTCGTTACTTGCACAGTCCATTCAAGTTCAAAACCGTCCTAATTTCTCCTCGCAGGCCTGGTATTGCTCTATATCGGGCTCGGCCTCGTTTTTTCGTTTATTTACCTGATATTTCTCCGGAGAGAGAATGCGAGACGCAACCGCGGTGAAAGGAATGAGATTATTGGAGGTGACAAATCCAGTGGCCACGAAGTTAATGGGCGATATGATACGGTAGACGATGCCAAGAGAGACAAAGGTGACGAATGGAGTGGCTACAGATATATTTTGTGATTCAGTAAAGGTTAATCTGGGAGTAATTGGATATTTCAATAAAAATACAACAAGGTTCCTTTCAATAGCCCACCGCGAGGGTCGAACTCGCAGCCTTCAGATTGCCCTAAGTTTTAAAAGTCTGACGCTCTATCCGATTGAGCTAGGCGGGCATTGTATTCGTAGGCCTAATTCAAGGATAATGACATCTGGGCCACTGACTATCAACTCTCAGTGACAGCAGTTCGAAGGTTTGATGCCCCAAGCCAATGGAGCATCATAAGAAAAATGTGGCACGGTCGTGGGTCTTGTTGAAGCACGATGGACTACCGTAATGCGGCAGGAGATCTGTGAGTAGCCATACTAGTGAACACGAATGAATATAACTTCGGAGTAGGTACTTGAAACATGTGTGACAGTGCTATATACCAACGGCGAATCCAACACGCCATGGTACGCTACTCCAGCGAGGAGGGGTAACACAACAACCTAATGAGCGACCCAAGGGCGTTCAATTTGGGTATTTTCTTACCAAAACATGAGAAGATTTAAACAGGCTTATTCCATACTTGCAGTTCCTGGTCACCCCTGTACAATTTTCATCCCCAAATCTTGATTAAAGATCCTTTGACCTAGGTATTTACATCGATTACTTACTTACTATACGACCGGCAAACGTACCTCTTACAGGACGATATATACTTACATTTACATCCACGGAACGAATAAATGACGGTTTATGGAATGTAAATCCTGGAATATCCTTCTACCCTATATGTCAGCTAAGCATCAGTAGGATACGACGAGAAACCAGATCAGAATTATTTACCCTCTCCTACAACACGGACATTTGTGCTTTGATGCCGAAGATCGTGCAGCGAGACTTTCTCGACAAAAATCGCACATTGAGAGACAGCTTTTCATGAGTGTACATAATGTAGTTAGACTCGAATAGAGATCAAAAGGAAAAGGAAACACTCGCCGACAAGGCCAGCAAATAATTTCTCGAGCCTGAGTGGTGCATACCACACAGTTTCTCCTTGTATCGTCGTATACTTCGTTGCGGTTACCACTCTCATTACCATGCTTAACGCTATGTTTTGAAGGATCTTCAAAGTCACTAGAACCAGCCTGCGTCTGGAGAGTTCCATACCGTCGTCTTGTAAGTGGACTAGAACCTGAGTAAGACATATGAGCGATCATAGTCGATGTGATAGCTCCTGGAGGAGTGGATGCTCGGTTCGACGCCAAATCAGCGTAAAGATGGACAGCTTCTAGCTCTTGGCCATCCGACTCGGAGTCGGATTCATCCTCGTCATGATCCTCGTCCTCCGAATTATCATATTCCTGGTCTTCATCATCGGAAACATAAGATTCTCCGCGTAAGAACCTCTGATACAATTTCTCTTCTTCCGAGTCGTTGAAGACACTCTCATCATCATCATCATCATCATCGACATCATCCTGTGATTCGTCTACCAAACGGGGACCTTGAAACAATCTGTCGTGGGCTTCGGCGATGTCGTTGGAAGAGTTTCCGTCTCCCTCTGACCACTTCCCAGCCCATCCTAATGGCTACCAAAACCACGCTCCACGCGGTCCTAACAAATTTCTTCAGTTCGACAAAACATTGAGAGTTGAGTGTGAATATTCCGTTGATACCCCATAGTCGCCTTGTTGATGTAGCGCTAGAACCAAGGTCAACATCCCGGACTTCATTATGCCATCCCTTCAATATCTTGTTTTTTATCCTGGTACTTCCTTTTTGGCTGGTGTGTTCAGCATGACCTGGAGAAACGTCCGCAACACCGGAGCGCGTCAGACGGATACTCCCGTATCGGCGAGCAGCAGCGGAACTAGAATCAGAGTCTGAAGGCGATGAAGCTACGACACCTCCAACTTCATTTCCCCAGCCGACCTTGCCGCTTGCTTCAAACGATGCTGTCCCTATTCTCAAAAGGACAATGCTAAAATCCTCATCCCATGGGATCATCGCCATCCATCCCTCGCTTGTATTGGTGTTGATTCCCAGTCCCAACAGTGGTTTATTAACACTTCCAGTTAACAAAAGCTGAGTGATGGTGTTGAGAAAAATGGTGAGAATGATCGTGGAAAGAAGCATGGTTTCGAAAATGTTCGGGATATAGTTCAAGATGGGATAGCCGTGTGTAGTGTGGTGCGGAATATAGGTATAAGGTATTGATGTTGTCGTGGCATTCGTGATGTTCGTAACTGAGTTGGAGGACAAAGTAGAGGAAGAAGCACCTATCATATAACGTATAAGCGTTATATGGAAATGCGTCAAGGAAAGTATCGAAGCCAGCGCAGTGGGTACTAATCGATGCCGGGACCATCTCTTGCGCACAGAAAGTAAATGGAACAAAGTCAGCTGAAGGAGAGGAACAGTTAGGGTAACGAGGATGTGACTGTCGGGCCTTGAGGGCAGAAGCTCGGAGTTGCTATATTCTGAATTGAAGTCGGCCTTGTAGGGTTTATAGGCATGTGTGAGTGGAGACGAGTATATGTGAAGAAGAAACGCATAGCCAACCTAGATTGTCGTCAGTATCGTAGGTAAATGACAGTAAGTTTAACTGACGAGGTTGAATGGAGTCGTATTTGCCTCCGCGAATCCAAACCCAAATCCATGACCATTACCATCCAAACCTTTCACTAATCCCTCAACACAAAAGGCAACACATATGGCACCGAAGGTATGCCAACAAACGTCCTCCGTCTCCCAAGAGGCGGACCAGCGTCCTAGCCGATACACGATACTGGACAAGCTTAGGTTAACCGGGTCCGTTTGAGCGGCTAGCGGCCAAGGTAAGATCTCGGAGGTCTGCAGTAGCATAAGGCTCCAAAGAAGAAGTACACGACACATAAGATAGATTGTCGGCAAATGAATCGCTAGACGTGTAGATGTGCGATTGATGTCTATAGGAGAAAGCGATGGAAAAACCTGCTGAAGCGGCGGGCTTGCCCCGGATGTTGAAACCTGTTAGGAGAGGGAACGAAAACATTGTCTATCCGATGCATGAGGACGCCCTACATTGTCTGCAATTTCAGTATCAAAGCGGGCGGAAACAAAGGAACACACCATTATCACTAAGCCACACATGTATCCACTGGCAAAAAAGGCCCAGGGACCAGGAAATGTGGTGGTTGTAGCCGTTGCTATTGCTACCGACGCCGTTGGTGCTGGCGATGATGTTGTCGCTGACATGGTGGAGTCGGAGTTATCGAGCAATGATGGCCAAGGTGTAGGTAGGTCCCCAGCGGTAAGGCCATTGCCATCTTTGTGCATAATCCATGCCAGAAAACGAGAAGAATAAGTGGATATTGTGCTGAGATTGAAGGAAATGTTGTATGATGAACTTGGCCCGGAATTCGACATTATAGTGTGCTGCGAAGAAGTAATTTCAGCCATTGGGCCTAATGGCTTGGAAATTCTATAGATTAAAGTCCAATTTGTTTCCGAAGAGACAGAGGCAAGGTGGCTCTGGGCTCTGGGTAAGTATGAATGAATAAACGTGACTTGTTACCTTTTACATATCAGATGATGTTACATTGTCGTGACTCTGTCAATATGTATGGTCTCCTATCTTCCTTTTAGCTAGCATGATGGAACACATGAACTGGAAAATAAAGACTTCACGGGTCAGAAACTCCGATTTGGGACCGGATAAAGATCGCTCCATCACTGGACAGGTCGCTGAAGGATCTTCGTTTTCGATAACCGGCGGAAGTCATCCTCCTTCCCTTGTAACGTCTGCATCATACAAAAGACCTGGCTTTCGATCACAAATTTGACCTCGTTCTTAATCAATACCTATGTTATCCCCAATTTGCCTCTGTGGATGAATTCAGCCTTGTTTTCATCTACGCCCTTCACACATTATATGAAAGGATGTCTATATCATTCTTTTGACCCCCGTACTGAAAGAAAATCCCTGAAATATCAGAGGTCCTCTGCCACTTTAACTCGCTAATTGTTCGTCCATCTAGAAAACCGTGATTCGACGATGAATATCCAAGCCATTATATGGACCTCAGTGAATAACTTCAGACAGACTTTATGCGAGGACAGGAATGGGAGGCGTATTGGTCAAACATCGCCGAATCGGCTAATCGTCCATGCATCGGCTATGGTTGCGGAATTGCATGCGTTCTAGCTGCTCTCTCAACGGATCGACGCCTGGCTTTACATTCATGGCTTCGTTCTTTACATGCCTTTGTCACTATGTGTGTTCCATTCTGGGAAGTCACTACTCCTCGAGTAAAACGAGGCTTGCTTTCTGTATCGCATGGCGAGTTGATCAATATCTTGAAAACCAACCCGCAGAACTTCCCATCGACCCCGGACAAGCCTGGACAAGTTTGGATGTATGAACTTTTGGACCTTGTTTTTGCAGTCAGGTACAAGGGCTACGATAGCTATCATCGCTCATCAGACTTGCAATGGGTCTAGTATGCATTCGTTAATTTCGTTATCAAGAGTGCTTGATCAAGGTGAGAAACAATCGTTGTAGTATGCTGCTTCGGCGTCATTCAAACCTGCGTCGTTCAACATAAGGACGTTCTACAGTGGCCCGGAATGCCATATATGAACATAGTGACCGGTACCATTCACCAGTGTAAGATTAAAACGGCATTACCCACCCAATCCGACTGCTTTCATGATTTTGGTGGCCGTCTCTTCATTGATGATCGAGACTACGTATGAGGTATTAGGTCTCTTGGAACTAGAATGCGGAGTACGAGAGAAACTTCTAAGTAGCATCGTTATATCAAGCTTTACAAGTTATACTTCGCTGATCGTATACTCCAGGCCTTAAGCTGGCATCTACTCCTTGCAACATAAATAAAGTTGGTATATACATGGAGTAGTTGCTGCTGAAATTAACGAGAAACAGGATATGTGACTCGTTTCGCCGACACGGCTGATCGTCAGTTATCAAAGTAGTGTCAAAAAGCAATAGTTGGCTTGAGTTTAGAAACAGGGATGGTAATGGATATTGATCTGATTCGAGGCGGTCGGCACACTACCTCCCATTGGACACCATAACCAACACTTCCTTGGAGGGGAAACTCGGTTTATTAGGCAAATAGTCACAGGACGCTATATAGGTTCAGAATCACCAATCGATGGAAATGAAGAATAAATCAAAATGAA